TGATGTCAGTTAGGAGGCCTGAGCAATCTATGGGGCTTCTGGTAGGGGAACAGTATTTATCCCTAGTACACGAATGGACTTTAGGTGCCCACTCCACATAGAGAGATACTCTCTCAGCCTAGACACACTGGGGAGGGTCTAGGCCCTGCCCCAAATGATATGACAGACTTTGAGGAATCCCCCATGGAAGGCCTCAAGCAATCTATGGGGCTTCTGGTAGGGGAACAGTATTTATCCCTAGTACACGAATGGACTTTAGGTGCCCACTCCACATAGAGAGATACTCTCTCAGCCTAGACACACTGGGGAGGGTCTAGGCCCTGCCCCAAATGATATGACAGACTTTGAGGAATCCCCCATGGAAGGCCTCACCCTTTCTGGGGAGCAAAAAGGGGATGGGATGGGAGTCAGTGAGGGGCAGAGGATGATGGGAGGGAGAGGGAACTGGGATTGACATGTAAAACAAGCTTGTTTCTAATTTAAATTTAAAAAAGGAAAAAAAACCAAAAATTCACTAGTTCAAAAATAATTATATTAAACAGTATTTTTAATTCAAATGTGCTGTTTTATAGAAAGTATTATCATTTTCACACTTTAAAAAAGATACGAGGAGGACATTCAAAAACTATCTAAATACAATGAAAACAGGTTTGGCGTGAATGAAGTCTCTAGGCTCACTTGGATATTTCAATATATGAATTAAGATGGTAAACCATGTTCAAAACTCCGTAGCCAATGATAGCCAGTGTTCACTAAAGGAAGGACTATTTCCTTCACATGTGTATGTGTGAGTACAGGATCAGAAATAGAAGAGGGAGGAGGGCAGTGGCATTTAAAGCGCCTTTCTGTGTTTACTTTTCAGCTCATCTAAGTTTGACAGAAATACTAAATGGTAAGGTACAGAAGTGACAGAGGCAAGTAACTAAGGGTGGACCTCCAAGTAGAATAACCTTCTGTTCCTGCTGGTTTCCTGCCTGCCTGCCCCTCCTCCGGCCACATTTCCCACTGACATGCTTCCCTGCCTGAAACTCTTTCCCTTTCTGCAAGCACTGTGTCACAGCTACAGGAAAAGTAATGTACAACTAATTACAGAGTCATAAATAATATGCTATAATTATAAATTATTTTTGTAAGGCGAATAAGGATTTTAGACTTAAGTTTGAAAAGAAAACATATCCTAGGGTGATTTGTGGTGTTTGATGGCAACAATCGAAAACCTATCTATACTCGGCATAAATACAAACCATAAGACTTACACAAACAAAGGTTTAGAGAAACAAACTGTGACTAACCTTCCGCACCATCCTCTTGATCGTCATCTCTATCGTCTGGTTCATCACTTTTCAAAGAAAACAACACAGGTAGTTAAAAAAAAAAAGATTAATTAGTAATGGATTAAAATCACTTCTCAGAATAGTATTAAGGAATGAAATGTTACAATATGACATGTGACATTTAGAAAGGAGAAAATGACAAAGGAAGCTTTGCTTCTCACATTATTTCATGTTAAAATCGGGATTGCACACAGTGCCTACAGAAGCCCTTCCTTATCATGACATTTAAAGCCAAGCTACTTCAAATGAAGGTGAAATATTCTAATTTGGTTTTAAGTAATATGCTATTTGAATATCATAGAATGTCATGAATAATGAAGTAGTACTGCTTCTACTAATGCCATTTAATATGTTTAAAACAATTTTTCTCTTATTATATATGAAATTAAACTATACAGGAAAATAAAACAAAAAAGAAAACAACAGAAATCCTGTAGGAAGCAAGCTCTTTTTAATGAAATCATTGATAGAATGAAAAATAGCAAGCAGAGCAATTCATGCAAACAGTCATACATTTTGCAATTAGATGTCAGTCATATTTTAGCCAGTTGAAATTTTCATTGTATGTAAATGTATTGAGCAGAATCATGTCAAAATTCAGGAGAAAAGCAGGTTGATACATATTGGCTCTCTTAAGAACATGACATCATGCATTAGTGGTGAAAGAAAGACTCATCAGTTTTTAAGTGTCTAAACTGGACCAACCTGTCTGATGTTGGAAAGGATAAATTGTCCTCATACAAATCTCCTTCTAAACCAAGACTGCTCCAGCTACTGCTGTTACCATTACTGCTGGAGGGAGAAAAGAACAGAGCTGAACTAGAAAACGAATAGTGAAGACTACCTGTGTTTCCTTGGGACAGCTTCTGTCCTAAAGCCGTCACAGTGGAGTAGAGCATCCACAAAGGAGACAAGAGACTGTCACTGCTATTCCATAAAGGATAGATAATTGACAGGGCTGCAGACTAGGGATTCCCCAGACCCCACACCCCAGAAACAAGTGTTTCTCTGTGTAGCCTGTCCTGTAATTTGCTCTGTAGACCAGGCTGGCCTTGAACTCACAGAGATCCACCTGCCTCTACTTTTAGAGTGCTGGGATTAAACACCTGTGCCATCATCGCGCTGGTTTAGTGATTCTTTGCATTGTCTCAAAACATCACAGAATTATTCTAAATTTACATTTGTTTTTGCAGATTAAGGCAACAGAATTTTTAGAATGACAAATGACGGCATGATAAAATTAATATGGCAAATCTTAGCAGGTAATTTATAAAAAAAAAAAAAAAAAAACAAGAGCAAAAAAGGCAATACACTTTCCTAATCCTCAGTTTGGATAAAATTTAAAAAGGAAAGGGGACCTTAACAGAGATCTTCTGGGATTCCCAAGTAGTACAAAACAATGATTAAGGTGTGAGGGAGACTGTCTCAAACATTGCTTGCCTTCTGATTTTAAAGATCTTATTACATTGATATGCCAATTATCTTTATTTCTTACACTATACACAATAAGCAGATGGCAAACAGCACACATTTTCTTGAGAAGAAAGCTATAAGCAGGGCCACACACAGCTCTAACTTCTTCTATTCCCTAGACAAAAGAAGAAGGAAGCAACTGAATCTACAACTACAGCAAAGCATTGTTTGGAGGGGGAAAAAGTAACCATTTTCAAAAACAAAATTATAGTCCTTTTCTGATTAAAATTTTCAAGATGCAGCTTAAAAATTCTAATCATTCCTAATTATTAAGATAATTAGTAAGCACATTAGTTCGCAGTGATAAGCAGCTTTACTTCCCATTCTCAGCTAGTCAATCATAAGTTATCATCTATACAAACTTAAATTTTAATTCTTTAACATGAACTGACTTCTTGTACATCAGTAAATGTTGTCAAGGTAATCAAAGTCATGATTACCTAAAATTCTAAGAAGTTTCTAAGCATTCTCAAGTAATGACTTACCCATTTTCACTTTAACAGTACCAAACTTTTACAAATCACAATGCATTAAGGAATAAAAGTAAAACTAAGCCATCTTTTCAACATATATTCAAACAAATACAATTCTATTACAAAACCATAAAGACAACCAAAGTTTTACCATCAGTCTGTCATTAGCCAAACTAAAGCACAGAAAACACAGTAGCATAGGACAGACAACTATAAACAAAAAAGGGAGAGATTAATGATTTCAAACCCTATCTGCTTTAAGAAAATGATTTTCTAAACAAAGAAAAACACAAAATTAAAAGGATATTGGGTTTTTTTTGTTGTTGTTGTTGTTGTTTTTTCTGAGACAGGGTTTCTATGTGGCTTTGGAGGCTGTCCTGGAACTAGCTCTTGTAGACCAGGCTGGTCTCGAACTCACAGAGATCTACCTGCTTCTGCCTCCCGAGTGCTGGGATTAAAGGCAAGTGCCACCACCACCCAGCCAAAATTAAAATTCTTACCCATATTCTATTAGCAATAATTTTTCAATCTAGTTAGCAATAAAAATCCATCATTTAAGTATTAGATAAATATGAGAAGTAACAGCTAAGTAACAGAAAGAATAAATGCAAAATCTCTCTAGCTTCATCTTGCTCCTGTTTTTTCAAAGTGGTTCATATTTGAAGTCAGATATCTATAGAATACCACCTCCCTCTTAATGTGGGAAATTACCATTATGGAGCCAGGTAAAAATACAAGGGATTTTAATAGGGAAAAGCCTTACTTACAGAGCGACCTAGCCAGCCGGCGGGCAGCAGTCTGTACAGCAAGCCGAAAGCGAAACCGAAAGCAGAAACCCACCACCTGAATGTCCCTTGACCACGCCTAAGCAGGCGTGGCTACAGCATCCCCTACACCCTCTAGCTAACAGACATTTCATCTAAGCAAAACACTTCCAATGGAAGGGGTTACTGTTGAATGATTGATTTTACTAGAGCCACACAAGCAAACCAGAAAGCATGAGCTATCACCTTACCTTGAGCCAATGTGAAAATATTAAGTAAAGCCTTAGTGGACTTCCTATGCTATTCCTGAACCACTGTGCTGCTGACACTTTTTTTTCTTTTCTCTTTTCATAGCTTGTTTCTAGAGCAGGTATACTCTCAAGGCAGTGGTAGTTAAAATACTGAGATTCTTTATTATAGCTTTGACTCCATTCATGACTATTACATATTCTGATACAAAAATTACCTCAAGAACTGTCCAATGGCCTCTTCTCTCATCTAAACATAAATTTTGTATGTGTGATATGTTGGGAACTGAACCTAAACATTGCAAATGTAGGCAAGTGCTCTACCACTGAGCTATAATCTCACAACTCTAAACTGGATTTTGTTTGAGACAGGGTCTTGCTAAATTGCCTAGATGTGGTGATACATTATTTATAATCTAATAAAGGTGCTGAATATCAGAAAAGCAAAGCAGCCAAGCCAGTAGCTCTTACCTCTACCTCACACTGAAATGGGTGATCTTGTCTCCACAAATCCCCAGAGTGCAATGTTCCCTGTCTGGAGACTGAATCTCACATGAGACCCTTTGCTTCTTCCTTTTATATCTCTCTAGTGCTGGGATTAAAGACGTGAGCTGTCACTCTTTTTAGACTGATTCACTCTTGCATAGCCCTGGGTGGCCTTGGACTCACAGAGATCCATCTGCCTCTGTCTCCTGCATCCTGGGATTAAAGGTGTGTGCCACCACCACCACTTCTCCTCTATGGCTAGCTAGTATGGCTGCTGGGATTAAAGGTGTGTATCACCACTACCTGGCTCTACGGCTATGGCTAGCTTTGCACTTTGATCCCCAGGCAATTTTTACTAAATCATAAATAATATATCACCACAATCCCCCTTTTTTGTCTAATACAAAAAAGACTACAACTAACATAAGAAAATAAGTACAATAATTATATTATCACCATACCCAGACTAGCCATGAACTTATAATCCTCCTCCCTCAGCCTCCAAAGGGTTACAGACATAAAACAACACATTTGCCTCTAATATATAACTTCTTAAAAAAAAAAAAAAGTCACAAGCAATTCAAAAGGCACAAGAAATTCACATATACAAGCTAATTGCACATACTTCTTTAACCTTTGTTAAAGTCTAATTTTTAAAATTGTTGATCTTTACTAAACTTCCTATTTGGAGTGAAAGTTCAAGGTATTCACTGCCCACCTTGATCTCTGTACCTGAATGAACAGGAAGGAAAGGTATGTAACCTGTACTGTGCTGAAATCACTGCAGTGCTTATCAAGGACACAGCCTTCCAGGACCCTGCCTGGCCCTATGAGGCAATTTCTGGAGGCAGGGCTCTGGAAACCTGTATTCAACAAGCACACTATCAACCCAGGATGAGACCCAGGAGCTGCTTTCTTGTCCAAATTTTAACACTATGTAGCATCACTAATTCATACTGACAGTGGACAAGTGAAACACGAATCTTTTTCTTACCAAATACTCTCAGGCCAGATGTGCTCCCTTTCTGAGTTCACATAATTAATTTCTGCACCTAAATGCTTTTGCTCATACTAGGTATAAATTAGTAATGAGGCTGTCATTTCAGCCTTGTTTCTGAGTCATCCATACTACACATAAACTAATGCTACAGGCAGAATGATGGTTAGAGCCCAGTAAATGCTTCCCCTCATATCAAATCAGTTAACTCTCTAAGTTACTCAGCTCTTTACAAATCCTCCTAAGGCCATTGGCTTCTCCCCAGTTTAACTGATGTGGAGATTTCCCAGACAGCAGTGTCGAGCTCTGCTGAGGTCTCAGAAGTTTGTTCTTCTTAAAGAAGAGAAGGAATTTAAATGTTAATATAGCATTCCAGACAGGGCAGATCAACCTTGCTCTACTGTACCCATCTTAAAAACTACTACTTGTACCTACATTGTAAATATTGATGATTCCCATTGCGTAAGAAATACAATAACTAAGAAAAAGTAAAAAAACAAAACAAAAACAAAAAAAAACAAAAACAACTGTGTATCCACCTTGAAAACAAACCCTAAGTTTTAGGCTAAGCTGGTGTGGTGTGCTCTAACAGGCCAGCAGTTACCGCCTTTCCTTCTGCCACCCTAACCTCTCCTCCAACTTCAAGCTGTCTTCCTTCCCTTCCCAGCAAGCATATTCAAGGGTTTCTATCAACAGGAACCTCACAGGGTCCTTTCCACTCACACCTCGTGTAGAAGCATGCTGAGAGCCTCTCCTCCCTAGGATTCAACTAAGGATGTTACTTACTGCTGCAATTACTGCTTCAGTTAATGTGGGTAAAAACTTTATAGGAATTCTTAAGCTAAGAAGGAATGCCTTTAGGCAGAGGTGAGACTATAAGAAACAATTACATCATAATAAAGTATTTCAAAGATGACTGTTATAAACAAAGTTAGCCAAGAAAATTTACATATGAAGTAAATGTCTTCTGGTATATAAAACTCTTATTTTACCACAGATTCAATTTTTGTATTTTCGATCTAAGAAGCTACATAAAGAATCACTGTTTTGTTCCTAGCAGAACAAATCTAAAGACCCTTTCTTCCCACCCCTAAAGATACTATTTATTTTAGCTTACATCAAGAAAACTATGGGGCTATTTTGATGCCTTTACGGCTACCTACCTGTCCTTTTTCTCACTCACTAATGAAAGAAGGTATGCTCTTTAAAGTGATAAATTATACTCCTAAAGCACCTTAAGATGCAAATAAATTCAGTATCTACAATATTTTTTCAAGTCAGCTTTCAGCACACCCAAAGAACATCAGCTCTGCTCCCAATGTACTTAATACATGACAAAACCATCTAGAAGCCAGGCACAGCAATACAAGCCTCAAGCCTATAATTGAGCCCAAGAGGCTGAGGGAGAAACTTAACTTCAAGACCAGCCTGAGCTACACCAGACGAACCATCCCCTCAAAAAGAATTAAAATAAATTCAAACAAAAAGGCACACTGGAATAATAAAAATAATGTTAGAAGTATGAGCAGATTGCCAGGTTGAGCATTTCAAATAATAATGTAATAATAATAATAATAATAATAATAATAATAATATAAATGAAATCCTTTATAACATAATTAATTATAAAATCAGAGTTACCTTTCACTGAGATGATGAAAACTGCTGCTTTCATCTTGATGGTCATCCTCAAAACTTAAGTTGGACCAGCTACCAGTACTGTCCTCACCAACACTCAGATTCAGCTGCTGGCTGCCAAGTGATTCAGTTGACTGAAAATCTTCTATTTCTTTTGGACTAAGAAAATAGCACATGGTGGTAATTTTAAAAATAATTGAAGCATCACAGGAAATAAAATGATCCCATGAACACTTCACTGTATCTGCAAATAATGAGACTGAAGAACAGCACAGCAAGAACCACATCTGCTACGTGGAGATGTCCTTATGTATTGTTTATCTACACTCTATCTAAAGAAAGCATGCCTTCCTACAAGGTCTACACATCAGTGGCCCTGTAAAAATATAGCACCTTTATTTGCATCTGAAGGAGCCTCCTTCTGGCAGTTTGAAATTCTAGTGGTGTCAACCAAACCTACATTCAAACTAGACAAATCTCTTCAAACATGAATCAGAAACATCTTTCTTAGCAGGAAATGATGGCACAGGCCTTTAATCCCAGCACTTGGGAAGTAGAGACAACGGATCTCTGTGAGTTCAAGGCCAGCCTGGTCTACATAGTTCTAAGAGAGCCCAGGCTTATCCTTAAAAAAAAAATAATTCTTGTATTTCTTTGGTTGTGAGCCTTGCCTTTAACAGCCAAGCCATCCCTCCAGCCCAATTCTTTTATTATTTTTTAATGAAGGGACATTTATATCTTTATGACACAGTCAAAAAATAAAGCTCATTTAAAGCAACTATACTACTTGGCCCATCTGTATGTATGTATAAGTATACATGTACATACATATACATACATGTACACTATTTCAACATATTTCTAAACAGTGATGCTCTAAGCATGAAGAGAAAAAACTATCAGTTTTTGGATCAAAGCCTTCCTTTGGCTTCAAAGCAATCATGATGTATAGGCCCCTCATATTGCCCACTTTCTCACCTACACTCCCCAAGTCACTCAACAGCAACACAAGCTCTCTGTGTCACACACATGCATTCCCACCCCTCTGCCTGGATCCCAGCACCTCCAGATTCCCAATCATTTATTCTATCTTCACTTTTGGTTCTTGGCTTAAGTGTTACTCCATTAGTTTTGTTTCTCTGCTATCCAATTCAAAAATGCAAGCCAGCCCCAACAGTTCTTGCTCACCTCTGCTAACAATACTCCCTTTTTTAAAATTATTTCTTTTAAATTATAATTACATCACTCTCCTCTTCCCCTTTTCTCCCTCTAACCCCTCCCATATAACCCCCCTTGTTCTCTTTAAAATTCATGACCATTTTTTTCATTTATTGTTGTCACATACATATGTATATGGAAAGACATATATATTCCTAAATACAGAAATTCAGCCTGCTTAGGCTTACATACTATTGCTGTATATTTCAGGGATGACATTTAGTACTGGACAAGCACTTGGTGTGCTCTTCCCTAGGAAGCCTGTGTCCCCCACTCCCAGAGTTCACGCAGTTGTCTGTGTAGGGCTGAGGTCTCATAGGCTTTTGTGTGTCCACATTAGCATGTCCCCTGTTGTCCTGTTCAGCTCATGTATCTGCTGTTTGTCTTATTCTACTATAATATTAAGCTCTTGGAGAACACACATTTTTTTTTTTTTTTGCCTGTTTCCATTTCTTTTATATCCCTAAAACCTAAAATCAGCCCTGAGCTGCCCCTGCCCTCCCCACTTTTTAGGCAATTCTCACTTTTTATTTAAGACATAACAACTCAGTTAAACTCGATATTCCAAACATAGTCATCCTATGCCACAACTTTATTTTTATTTAACATTTACCTACCAATTCTTTTTCTTTCTTTTTTTTTTTTTTTTTAAAGAAAATGGTCCACAGGAGGGGGTTAAAAGGAGGGTTTGTAATGATTGCTAGGTAACTGGGCTCACAGTAATTGAAAATAAAGTCTAGATATATTATGTTCTAAAACTCCTCTACAGTATGCTTTCCTATTTGATATTCATATAGCACCCGGGTGAGCATTATGGGTTTGTTACATTCTACTATATATTCTACTAGTATGATTACTTGCATTAATCATACATTTATGAGAAAAGCGACATTAGTGAAACCATTCAGTTAATATCTTAGCAAATAATCTATTTGAGTCAATCATTCTTCAACCTTAAATCATGTTAACTTTACAAAATGTGAAGCAGAACTCCATATAACTGCATGGACTTTGAACTGTACTTAGGGAAGACTGGCACAAATGCTATAAGAGACACAGGAACAGAAGTACAAAGGAAGAGTCTGTGAAAAAATCAGCCTGGATAAACCACAAACTTACAGGAAGAACTCAAGGCTTATTATCGACCAGGTCTAAAGAAGAAAATGAATATTCTGAAGAATGAATAGCAAAGTTATTTGCTAGGTCCTAGACTGTGGGCTTAGGAACTTCCACCTAGGCTCCTCTGAAGATGTTATCATAGGGGAGAAAGAATAAAAATAGTCCAAGACTACATATACAAAGCTGCTTCAACCACAGAACAGACTTTAATCTCAGAGTAGTCAATATTACTAGTTTAAAATCTGTGAATAAAGTTCACCAGTTTCTTTAATTTTACCTGTGTCTTAGTTCTGTGAAATTGAGGTCACTGTTCTCTAACTCTCATCTTCCAGCCCTGTAAATGGATGATAATGTCCCTCAAAAGGGATTGGGAAACAAATATTTCATGTGAAAACCATGCACAGGATATGAAGCCATACACACAAAAAAAGTTAACTTTTCATTTTCATTTCACAAGATCCCAAAGAGAATTTGAAACGTACCTGCTAACAACATGCTCAGCATTTGTCACAGCTGATGTCATGATTTCTGTGGTAAGGCTCTCAGCAAAGCTAATGCCATCTTGTCCAATTCCACTATCGGCTGCCAGACTGGTATTGCTCAGCTCTCTCTCTGCTTTTTCAATAGCTTCAGCAACTATTTTCTCTGCAAGCACTGCCCTTTTATCAAGATTAACATGAATTTGAGGCACATCAAGATGAAAAATTCTCGATTTCTGGTGGATACTACCAAGTTTTGGATGTGAACCTGGCTTAGCACTAGCACATACACTCTGTTTTAAAGGGGGCTGGGAGGGACTTCTGGCACAACCATGGCGTTCCTTAAGGTCACAGTATCTACAAGTTCCATTCATGAGTGGTGACAATTTTTCGGCATAAGTGATTCTATCTGCTGATGCTGTGGTCTCTGGAATGTGGAAAACTGTAGGTCCTAAACTTAGCTCTAAAGTGTCATCCACTACTTTACTAGCATACTGTTCTAAAGCTTGAGCATTCTCTCCACGACTATGTCCACTTAAGGTGCCTGTATTCTGGCAGAATCCATGGTTTTGTAAAGGCTGATGAGACTTTGAAAATTCTGGTTCAATAATACCCTCACCCTTGTCAATACATCCAGATTTTTCACGAAGACAAGAATCTGTTGAGGGCTGTGGCAAGTCAACTGTAGGTGCTGTCAGCTGTTTCTTAACATCTCTTGTTATGATGCTAGCAAGAGAGGCTGAAAAGCTGTGCAGTTCAGAGAGTTCATTTCCACATGGATCCCGTGTCCTTTCACAAGGTTGGTAGTTACAAAGATGGCTGCCATTTCTTCTTCTTTGTCTTTTATCTACTTCCTGACAATGCTCTTTATTTGAGGTCAACAGTTCCTTGCTTATTTTCACATCAGAGCTGTGCAAAGGGAACATTTTTGAACTGCACTTCCTTTTTACTGTCTTAGCTGCTTCTTGCACTCCAGACTTGACAGATCGATAGGCCAGTCTACTGGCATACTGGTCCATGAGTAGTTCACCATTGCCACCTTCCTGTTTCAGCACTTGGATAACATGACCTGCATACTCATCAGTCACACTTTCACAACTGGGATACCTGTATGTCAGACCTGGCACACAACTTGGTAATGAAAGAACAAACGGGTCTATTTCTCTTGGATACGCAACATCCTCCATATCCAGCTTCTCTTCTGCTCTATCACGGTCAACATCAACATGACAATTGCTCTTCTCCTGCCTGAAAAGCATACAACTTCTAGCGTTTGCAATTTTCTCGGCCTCTGCAATGACATCAGCTGCCAAAACACTTGCAAAACTGCATGTCTGCATGTTTGCATCAGAATGATTTAAAGAAGCAGACAACACACTTCTTTGACTCTGCACATTCAAGTGAGGATTCTGAGCCTTGGATTCTTGAGTGATTTCATGATCTAACTGGGAGGCTGCCATTTCAGTTGCAAGAGATATGATGTGGGTAGCTAATGCTTCTGCAAAGTGTACTTTCTTTCCTGAGCACTCTGACTTCACATCCATTTCTGGGTGCTCTTCACCTTCACTGCTGTCAACTTCTTCTGAAAGAGATCGCATAAGCTTCAACATGAACTCTTCTTTTTCTATAGGATTTTGTTCATTCTCAGACAAACTGCCAGCAGAGGAGTTGTGAGGTGTAGAAGGTGGTGTTGCAGGTGCAAATTCTTTGGCTAACTCCCCCTTGAGCTTTTTGGTTAACTTTTTTATGTCCCATTCAGAACTAGTCTGGGATGGTACTAAAGGAGTTGATGGAGGAGTATCAGGTATTACATTTCTGTCTCTGATTTTCTGTTTGTCTTCTACATGCAAACCATCTACACAGGTGAGCACTGCAGATGATAAAGCATGTGAGTGACGGAAAGAGCTTTCCAGCCCAAAAGACAAGGGTTCAAGTGTAGTATTATTCAAATTATGCCTTTTCACTGGTTTATCCTTCACAAGTTCCTTCAAGTCAGATTTCTGACTTGACATCATTGAGCAAGGTGGCAGTGACTCTAAAGAAAATCCAAACCCCACAGAATCTTTACATTCTGGAACACAATGCTTTCCGGCCAAGAGTGAACAGTGAGGTAAGTGATCTGTAAAGCCAAGAAATTTGGGAGATTCCTCCAAGATCAACTGAGATTCTTCCCCAAGAATAGGCACAAGTTCCGTACTAACTGTTTTGTTATCTATATTTGGAAGCATTGATTTGCTTTTATCCAGGGAATGTTTAATAATTGACTTAGATAACTGCTCAGCAAACATGTCCTTACTGCTAGCTTTGCTCTGTTGTGGTGCTACTTGGTCACAAATGGAAGGAGGACAGACTTTTTCCTTTGTTTTAGTTAAATAATCTGAATGTGCATCAACAGTTTTTGTAGTTTTGAAGGTTGTCATGGACTCTAAGGTTTCACTGACTATTGAATGTACCATTGCTGCCGAAAAGTTGCTAATAATCATAGAGCCACTAGTTATTTTTGAAGGACTCTGTATGTCAGTATCACCGTTGGTAGGTTTGAAGTCATTCTGGTTACATGGATTGAGTTCTGATGGTAGAACAATGTCTCTGAGACAATCCACTTCCTCTTCACTGCTTTCTGTGGTGATGTGCTCTTGGGTAGAACCATCATTTGCTTTACTATGCTCAGATGATGGATGAGACCTAGACTGATACAAAGTAGATGAAATATGATACGGGAGAAGAGCACTACCTGCCAAAGGTACTGGTATGGAAGTGACAATTCCAGAAGTACAAAACAAGGCCTGCTGCACTGTATATTCCTTCTTATGTTCCTGCACTGGCTTTGTCATAATTGCTTGACTGCTGAAGGATGAGGAAAATGTGAAGGTCTGTGTAGGCAGCACTCCACTTTCTGCACTCGCATAATTAACATTACCCATTGAAACATTAACTGCTGCCTTTGTTGTGAAGGTCACATCAGTCTGTGACAGCTCTATGAATGCTTCTTGTATTACAGATTCAGACAAATCTTTGGCATATGACTTCACGACTTTGTCTTCAAAGTCAAATGATGGACACTTTGATGCAGGTGTTGGAGGACATGAAAACTGACACACTTCCATGATGCCTTCAAAAACAAGCTCTTCTGCAAGGTCCGCGGCAAACCTAGCAACTGTGTTTGTAAACATCTGCTTTTTCACGTACTGCAAATCTTTCAAGGCATTTGATAAGGCTTCACTAACCAAAAGACTTGCCAGGCTACCAATGGCTCGTTCTTTCAGTGAAAATGCACACTGCCTTCTAAGTTCGTTAAATGCCATCTGAAAAACAGATGATGTCAATTTGACAGCAAAGTGGCACAATGCATTGGTACATGAGGAAACTCCTTTCTGTAAGTCTTTAAATGCATTGCCAAAACTTCTTCCTACAAGATCTGCTGCAAACTTCTGAACGCTGTCTGTAATCACTGAAGATTTGTTTTTATATTTACTTTTTTGATCAGAGTTCCCGTGCTTAAAAGCGACAGGATAATCTTCTCCCCTTTTAATACTATTAGTATCAGACATTGCATTTACACACTGAGTATGAAGAACTGAGCCTAGTACTTCATGTGAAAGATTATTTGCATAATCTTCATAAGTGCAATAAATAGGATCCTGGTTTTCATAGCTCCTATCTCTACCAATATCTGTTTGGCAAAAACATTCAGCAGGAGTACAGCTTCCAGGAGGACTAAAAGCAGAGGCTCGAATAGGGCTAAACAAGCCACTGTCTTCTGATGCCATCACTGGACGAGGGGAATCTGGAGCATCACACAGGTGTCCATATGGAGACTCGGGTTTTCGTGGAGTTGGCTTTCTAACATTAGCTGGAAGAGCTGGACGCTCAAACTTGAATTTCTGAGGATTCATACAAGATTTTTCATGTTTGTGCCCAATCTTCTGCAATGACTTCTCTATATCAGGATCTTTCATAAATGGACAAGAAGTCTCTAAAGTTTGCTCTAGTTCATCAAACTGATCAAAGCTATCAAAAAACTCACTCACTTCTGAGTCTGAATCCTCTATATCATCTTTTGTCACAGGGATTTCAGGCAGTTCAAGTTTTGCTTTTAAACTTTTTTGGTATCCCTCTTCATCCAAAAAAATTACAGGACTTGGGCTTGAGCACTCAGACTCTGAGGAGTGGGCAGGAGAAGAAGGAAAGAGTATCTCCTGTGTGTCCCTGCCTTTATCTGAAGCACTGGGTGACCTGTAGAGACTCCTTTGGGTCCAGGGTTCTGAAACTGATGTTGTAACTGATGTTTTCACAGAAGATGCTTCTTTGCGTCCCAGAGCATGTACTGAAGATGAAGGCTTAGCCAATGACTTCTGTGGTCCATAACTGACCAGTACTTTAAAATCATGGGTTTCTAAATGGAGACCAGAAGTAGTCTGAGAGGCAGCATCACAGCGGTTCCTTAGTGTAGCAATATTTATTTCTAAGGGAAAAGTATAAAAATCTTCCATTAGTCTACAAAACTTGTTTTAAAAAATTGATATTAAACATAAAATACTTACATCACAAATGTTTCCTAATCTATAGTATTTAACAAAAATTTCATACCCAGTAATATTCAGGAGCAAATGCACCTTTTAATAAAACAATCCCATTTTACCCTGTCTTCAGATACATGACCTATGGAATGCTCAGCACATTGCCATTTATTTTTGAAAAAATAGTAGTTACTGCCAGCTGTTTTGACATTTGAACACAGCAAAGTTCCAGATACTAGGTTATCAAATAAATAAGCCTTGAACAACATTACCTAAGAAGAGAAACAACAAATTAAAAAGTAGTTAATAATGAAACTAAATATCACAGGAAAATTAATTCCTATGTAATAAAAATTATTAAAACTGAATCAAATTTCAAAATAAATTTCAATTGTTAAGTCTCCTTTAAAACTTCAAAAATTGAACTTTCAACTTCAATCTATTTCTAGGAAAAAGTCTAGTAAAAGGCACACACCATCATTATATAGCTTTGTACTCTCCTCCTCCTCTAACTGCTCAAAAGCAGTGACAAAGTCATCCTCTATGGAAGACACAGACTGGTTCGTATCATCATCATCTTCATCAGTGGTCTCAAGGTGGTGCTTCTGATGCAATTGTGTGTCCAAGGTATGTCTTATACCAGCAGCATATTTACTTAGGAGACTAAAGATAAAATCAATTCTGAGTCCTGGTAATGTAGGAGACACTCTCATGACACAAAGCATTCCAGAATGATGACTCTTGGGAGAGATGAAAGATGAAAAAAATCAGTTTTAAAGTTTAAACATAAAACATTACCTGGAAGTGAAGCCTAGAAATAAGCCCAGGGTAGGGGGGTTTGCAAGAAATGTATGCATCCTGGAAGGGTCCTTCATTCTGTAATGTTTAATGATTTTAAGTATTTAATTTTCCTAAAGTTATCTAAAGAAATATATTTATTTTTATTTAAATCTCATTTTAATTTTTTCCCTTACCAATCTTTTTTTCTCCCATGTATTCAAATTCTCACTACTATCTCTTGTGCAATTTTTTCTATATTACTGTATATGTTTGTAATGATGTTTGTAATGTGTATTAATCATTTACCAAACTCACCCACTACATTGTGAATGCTTGAGAACAGGATCCAGGATGTAATTTACTTGTTATTCCATTTTCCTATAGCTCCCAGCATGTTACCTTCCCTCCTACCAAAAAAGAACTATTCTTATCTTTTAACATTTATTTCTCAGGTATTAAAACTTACAATCATGCTGATAGCTTTGATTAAGAACACAAGCCATTAGTTTTCCCTATGCACACTGTATTTTTAAATGCAAAAATTGATAAGTTATTTGTTTTTAAAAAGGAGAAACCAAATATAACAGATAATCACCCTTCACGTCCCAGAAAATAAAGCAAGTATAACTGAGTGAACAACATGATCTAAGAAACAGGTATAATTCTAATCACAAGACCTCAAAACACCATTTTATAGCTGGAATAAGTTTTTCAAATTGTAAACCTATTCATACAATTTTAAGTGTTATACTTCCTAAAATGCAAAACATTTTCTTTCGTAATCAAAAATGCTAATAACAAAAGACTGTCTTAGGAAAACAACGTCATTGTCCACTCTACATAGAAAATCTTTAACCAGAAAGCTAGTTGGAAGTCCTTTTGCTAGAACACCCAGCAGAAACACATGTAAATATGGGGTAGTCATAAAGCAGGAGCCATCACTTGGGCTATACAAAGAAATCTGAACAGTAACATTTCACTAAAAAAATTAGTATGTGTTTGCATACTACTAACAGAACTTCACAGGCAGGAATTTGGTTTATAAGCCATGATCAAAATTATTCTATGCCTCAAGGCTGGCATTGCTTTGTTGAGACTTTTTATCAATACCATTTTCTTGAGACTGAATTAAAATAACAAGGGAAACTTCAATCACTTAAAAGTTTACTATTACTAAGCAAATATAGTAAAATCCTACCCTGAAAAACTTGATTAGAAATGATCCATCAGTTACCTGATTTAGAGGACTACTGCTTACATCTGATGATTTACTCATATCCTTCATACAAATGATTTCATTTTCACTTAGACTGCAGAAATGGAGCGAATTCAGAAGGTCTGGAAGTTCCAGTGAAACTGCAGCTAGATCCTAATTTTAAATAATAACAGTGACAACAATGAGAAACACTACAGAGTACCATTGTCAAGGTATCCATAATGTTGTCCATATCAAAAAAAAACATTAAACTGTCTGCTTCTTAACAGCTCACACATACAGTTTATCTACAGGTAGTCATTTTTAAAACTCAAAAATAAAGCAATCTAAGATTATTTAGTACTGCTTCATAGCCTTTCAAGCATATTGCTGCTGCTGAGCTACCCTAATAATTTGAAGAGGGCACTCAGACATCCATGACCATTAGCATAGAATTGTTTTTAGCAACTGTCATCCAGAAAGCCTCTGGTTTGACTATGGAGTTTCTCATGCTGCTGAAACCCCTTCTTCAGAGCTTGAGAACTCTGTAAAACACTACTCCATTTTTATGAAAGTTTATGAAGGTTAAAGGAAAGCTAGCTTCCTAGCCAGCTTTGCTTCCTCTCTCTTTTTTTTAATAACTACTTTTTCCAGTTCCAGAATCACTCAAGTCCTTGCCCTGCAGAGAATAGAGGCTTTAGAAATGTGGTCTTTTCTGAAGCTCCTGAGGGCATCACAACACTTTAGAAATCTGTGGGCTTTGTTCTGACTTTGAGACAGTCGTCACACTCTGCAGCTCAGGCTGGTCTGGCACTGTGCAGCCCTAGCTGGACTCTAACTCACAGTGACACTCCTACATCAGCCTTGCACATCCAGTTATATATTTGTATGTCGTTTTGGACAGTGTGCCCTCTCTGTTTCTTTTGCCCAAGTTATTTCCTTCCAGCTAAGAAAATCAAGACAGACTAGTGTTTTCAGGCATAATCACCAGAAATAACTAATGTCAGCAGTTTTCTAACAGCAGCACAGGGAAAAACTATATTTACAGTGACCTGTACAATTGTAGCTTTCCTTCCTTGCCCCTAACCTCAAATACCAATCACTCTATAAATGTCTAGATAAAACAGGCTAGAAACTTTTGCACAAACTTATAAATGTGTAAAAACTGAGACTTTACAAATTTGATCTGTTATATTTAATTCTACTTAAATAAAAATACAAGAAATTTTACTGCTAAAGTCAAATTATGAAAACCATCAAAATATACAAATGTTATATGCAATATATAATGGACAGAAACAAGACTGTAGCTTAAAGCTTACAAGAAAAATGATTTTGGTAGTCAAACCTAAAGCTCCTTTACATAGCAAGAATTATCAACAAAAAGCCAGGCATAACAGCACGTATTTCACTGGGCGGTGGTGGCTCAGTCTTTAATCCCAGCACTCGGTAGGCAGAGACAGGTGGATCTCTGTGAGTTTGAGACCAGCCTAATCTACATCTACAAGAACTAGTTCCAGGACAGACTCCAAAGCCACAGAGAAACCCT